TTTTTTTTAGGTAATCTCTACACCCAGTGTGGGGCTTGAACTCAAAACCCCAAGATCACGAGTTGCATGCTCCAGTGACCTAGCCAGCCAGGCACCCCTCAAAGATTATTGACAGTGATTTTTCATATTTTTCACTATAATTTCCTTGAACCAGATCCCTTAAATTAATTCAAAGGGGCTCAAATCTAAAAGAAAAGTGAGGGGGGGGGTGCTCAAATCTGATCAATCAAAGGCTCAGATTCATATCCTAGTTTGCTGATGGCTCATCTGCTCTTCCCATTCTGGAGATAATCTGTGTTACTCACCTGTAGACCTTAACTTTTTTGAGGGGTGTTTGGCTGGCATGTGGGACAGTAGGCCCTGTCTTTGGGCACTGTGGTTTAGTGGTCAGGAGCATGGCTGGATTCCAACAGGTCTAGGTTATGTCAGATTTCATCTCTGCCACTCATTAGCTGGGTGACTTGGCAGCCATTGTATCCTTGCCAACCATTAGTTTCCTCTAAAATGTGTGTCTCGGTAGAGGATTAAATGAAGTCTTTAATGAGGTGCCTGGCCCTTGGTAACCATCTCTTCCATATGGCCATGATGATTCTCTTAAGAGTCTTGCTGGATGGGGCTGGGGAGCACACAAGGGAACCTAGAAAGTAACTTGTTTGGTTGGCCTCCTAGGGCAAGGTAGAAATGCTGGGTACAGAAACCCTGGCTCCAGACCCCACTGTGTCAGACAGCGATGCTGGACATTCCTCAAAGGCCAGAACGGAGTATTTTGACCTTTGGCTTAGTGAGACAAGAAAGAGCATTTCCTTCCTTTGTCTAGAGAAGACCTAAGTGAATTACAGATGATGGCAGATTTCTTAGGCAGACAGTATAGGATGAAAGAGAAGATGCCTGGCTCCTTTTTGACTTCTGGATGTGAGGTGTGGTGACTTGAAACCTCCAAGGGGCCTCAGGCTGCCATCCTGACAAGCAATGGAACAGGGTGTGGGGCTCAAAAGAAGGTCATGGTGGGGTGAGGAGTAGTGTTCTTAGAAAGGCAGAGCAGGATCCTGCTCTGCTGGTTATAAGGCCACAAGGCCTTGGAGAGGTCCTCAATCTGACCCGCCCACCCTCCCCACCCCACCCCACCCCTCTATCCCATCCTTAGTGCTGTGGCTTCCCTGAGAGCTGACCTCTTTACTGCTTGGGGCTAGGGTTCCAGCAGGCAGCCAGGAGTGCAAGTAACTAGAACTGAGATTCTTTCCACTGCCACTCCTGGGCCGGGGCTGTACTTGGCAGGTCGTGCCAGGAATACGGGTGAGTGTGTTGAACTTCATGGCCTGAGGCCCTAACCTCAGTGGCCATATTAGGCCAGGATCTAGTCAAGGCTGTGTCCTCTTGCAGCACAGAGACTCTGCAAATGTTGGCTGGTTGAGTGACCCAGGGGATGTTTAGGGGGAGGAGAAGGTAGAGTTGCTCCTGGGCTGTGTGGTAAATAAGTGGGGGTGGCTATGGAGTGGGAGGAAAGAAGGGGTGCCGGTGGTTAAAAAGGCCATCTTCCCCAATGGCTTTTTATCCTGGTAGGCATAAGGGAGTGAGAGGTGGCTGGGGTAGGGGATCGGGATGCTGGGGTCTCGGGCTGCGACGCTTCTTGCCAGAGCCTTGGTAGCAGGCTAAATTGTGGGAGTGAGGTGTCCTTAAGACCGTATTGGGGGACATGGCAAATGGTGAGACCCCTGAATGGTATCTATTATTCCTCTCCCTAGCATGCCCACACTTTCCCAGAGTCCTGGGTGGAGGAGTGAGGCATGAAGGTCTGTGTATCCATGAGTGCCTGCTGCAAGCCTGATGCCACTGTCATTCCAGCCCCTTAGGGGCAAGGACAGAGCAGGTGTGACCATGGGCTTACCCAAGAATCTGGTGGCCAGCATCATGCATCTGTCCAGCCGCAGGAAGTGTGGTGGACTGTGGGGGCCTCCACCCACTCAGCCTCCCTCCCAAGCTCCCTAGCAGAGTGGCTCTTGGAGCTAAGCCACGATAATCTGAGTTGCCTGCCAGGTGGCTCCTTCTAGGGCCTGTGGGGACCATGGGTGCTGCTGCTTTCTCATGGTGTCCTGTGGGATCTGGCTGGTGGAGCCCTGGGGGGCCTGGATTTCCTGGAGTGGCTGCACCTCAGCCACAACCAACTGGCTCACCTGCCCCTGGTCTTCACCCGCACCCGGAACCTGGAGCAGCTCTACCTGAGTCCCACTAGCTGACCAAGCTGGGCACAGCCAGGCTTAGGGCCTTGTCTGTCTACGCTGGCTCTTGTGGCCTGGGAACTGCTTCATGTGGCCTGGCCACCGTGTCAGGCCTAGAGGTCCTCTCTGGCTGGGAGTGACATCAGTGAGCTGGAGGCTGGGGTCTTTGTGGCTTGTTGGTGCTGGACATCTCTCTTGTAGACAACTGTTTGCCCTGCTTCAGTTTCAAGGTAAGGTGGACATCTGGATGGCCAGTAACCCCTGGGTGCGAGCCCTGGGCCTGTGGGGTGCTTTCCAGAAGCTTGGACCACCTGTGGCACTTGTGGGTGGCCGATGTAGGCAACCCGACTTAAATTCTGGCTCTCAGCAATTGGAGGAGGTGCTGAGCAGTACGGAGGCCCGGCTCTGCCCACCACCCCGAGGCAGCTACTGTGCCAGGTATCCTGGGCACCATGCTGGTCAGATGGCAGCCAACAAGCGCAGGCGGGACTCCAGAGGAGCTGGGCAGTGAGAGCCCTCTGGAGAGATAGGGGTGCTGCAGAGAGAAGTGGAGGCAGCTGGAGCAGAGAGAGCAGCTAGAGATGTAGAAGACGAAAAGGGCTTCTTTTCAGAAGTCTGTCCAGCTGGGTTGTCACCCCTGGGCAGGAGTGGGAAGAGTGGTGGTGGTGGTGGTGCTGTGGGGGACACATGGCTGTCTTCCTCTCTCAGGGCCTGTGATCCTACCTCTCACCTATTCTCTGACCCAGTACAATGCTTGCATCCTTCCCAACCCAAGAAAGGGATTTGGCCCTTAGTGCTTTTCCACAATCTTCTGGGGCCTCAGGCACTAGAAGCAGAGACTGAAGACCAGAGGGAGTCAGAGTAGGGTGGGTACCAAGGAAAGTTTTGTTAATCCCAGTCTCCTGCCTCTCCCCACACGTGTCCCTGGCCTCTGCTGTTGCTAAAGTCATGAGGATGTGGTACTGCTCCTGTGGGCACAGCCTGGTCAGGCTTCTACAGCTATTTTATGGACATACACTGTCCCCATCCCGGTGACGGTGAGGGCTGTGTGTTCTTGTCACATTTGAATCAGGGATGGGTGAAGAGACTGGAAAAGTAAAACCAATTGAAAATATGATTCTGTACTATGGGCCTGTGGAAAACTTACCTCATGTGGTTGTCACTGGCGCATGGGGGGAGGTAGACAAACTGGCCTTTAATCCAAGCCCTTTCTCATTCCCTTCATCTGAAGATTGCTTTCCCCCACTTCCACCCCTACATACATGGACACAATCCCATTTCCTACATTTTGTATGGATGTATCTATGCCTCCCTCAGGTTTCTGTTATACTCAGGCTTTATCCCAGTGACTGAAAAATAAGATGTGAGAGGTGTTTTGTTTAGCTTTTACTAGCTGAGTGGGAATTTTTAAGTGGGGATGCTCCTCTCCCCACCCCAGGGAACTGGAAACAAACTGACCTGAATTAAATAGCCTAGTGGGAGTGCCTGTAGAGTCTTTTTTATTTTTTAAGATTTTATTTATTTATTGACACAGAGAGAGAGGCAGAGACACAGGCAGAGGGAGAGGGAGAAGCGGGCTCCATGCAGGGAGCCCGATATGGGACCCGATCCCAGGTCTCCAGGATCACACCCCAGGCTGCAGGTGGCGCCAAACCCCTGCACCACCAGGCTGCCTCTGCCTGTAGAGTCTTAACTTCAGTATTGGGAAGATGAGTTTGTGTGTTGCAGGGAGTGGGGGGTGGTGCAGGAAGATAGGTGGAGATGGCTTTGTGGTGGCAATCCTGGAGTGCCCAGAACTTTTGCCCACTTATTTAACAAATAATCACTAAGTACCTACTATGAACAAGACCTAGTGGCAACATCTTTTGTTCATTTATCTACTTAGCATGTATTTCCTGAATGCATCCTGTACACTAGGCTGCAAGGATATAACAGTAAACAGAAAGCAAACACCATCCTTGCCCTCACCTAGCTCACAATCTAGGGTTAATCTGGTCATTAAGAAAGAATCCAAAATACATAATTGCCATTGTGCTGAGGGATTAAAATGAAGGGTACCTGATGTCATGAAAACAAACCAGGGGAGCTAAGAATAAACAAGGACAAAGGAGAAGCTGGGGAAGCCGGTTGGAAGCCTGATGTGGTTAAACCATCAGAAGATGGTAGTTCAGGCTAGAGCGGGAGCATTGGAGCTGGAAAGGATAGACTCATTTGAGATGTCCTGTGTGCCCACGTCTAATCTTGCTCTTCTCTCAGGGGACGAAGGAGACCAAACTTCTCTACAAGTGACTTAGCCAAGAGAACGCCTTACTCTGAAAACAGAGGTAGAGGGGTTGTGTCTGTGTACACCATTTATCTACCCCCTACTATGAGCTGGTACCAACACAGCCACATTTAAATCTCATAACAACACTGTAAGGTAAATGTCCTCTTCGTTTTACAGATGGAATTGGAAAGTGTAGGGACATGCCCAAAGAACCTTAGGGTTGGATTGAAGCCTGGAGCCCAGGTCTAGCAGCATGCAAAGACTAGTAAGCTTCATTGCATCAGGTTATTGCCCATGGTTCTGGTAAGCTGAACCCACTGTTCCTTCCTCTAGTCTAGTTTTCAATTTTGCAGCCAAGAGGAAGGATCCTTAAGCCGCCATGAGCAGAGGGAAGGGTCGAAATCCGCAGAGGGAACACCTGCTCCGGTCCGGAACTAGAGAGCGAGAGCATGGTTTCCCGTCGGGAGGGAAAGATACTGCTCCCAACTCCCACCCCCGCCGCTCCGCGAGAGCCGGAAGTTGCGTGTCGCCTCCCCGCGCCGGTCTCCCCGTCGGGGGTGACGCCGCAGCGGACTGCCCTTCCCCAAGATGGCGTCGAAGATGGGTTCTCGACGGTGGATGCTGCAGCTGATCATGCAGCTGGGTTCGGTGTTGCTCACACGCTGCCCCTTCTGGGGCTGCTTCAGCCAGCTCATGCTGTACGCTGAGAGGGCCGAAGCGCGCCGGTGAGCGGGCCCACGCGGCCGCCGAGTGCGGTGGGGGGCGGTACGGCCAGTCCCAAGAACGGGGGTGCGATGAGGTGGGGAAGAAGTTGGGGCCCTTGGGCTGGGGAAGAGTTGGGACCTCGGGCTTTTTAGGGGTTCTGGTCTGGGGCAAGGTGGGCATCGAGCGTAGTGCAGGGATCCTGGCCGTGGAAGGGCGTCCGGTTCGGGGGAGCAGTGGAGCTTGTGGGAACTCAAGGGGTCGTCGCAAGGCTCTTCTCCCGCTTCACTCTGTCCTCGTTGCTTCTTCCCCTCTCCGGCTCGCAGGAAGCCCGACATCCCAGTACCCTACCTGTACTTCGACTTGGGGGCGGCCGTGCTGTGCGCCAGCTTCATGTCCTTTGGGGTGAAGCGCCGCTGGTTCGCCCTGGGGGCCGCACTCCAGCTGGCCATTAGCACCTACGCCGCCTACATCGGGGGCTACGTTCACTACGGGGACTGGCTGAAGGTGAGCACCTCGGCCCAAGGCGGGACTTTGGTAAGGGGATGAGGAGCCCCAGGCCAGTGCCCCGGGCCCCGGGCCCCGGGCAGTTGGGTAATGCATGGCGCTAGCCAGGTGCATAGTGTGAAGCCTGGGAATGCAGAACCCCCAGGCTTGCGGAGATTATTCCAGACTGCAAGAATGAAAGGACCTTAGAGACCACACAAGACTGCCTTTCAGAGTGGGAAAACTGAGGTCCGAAGATGAGAAAGAGACTTTCTCAAAGTCACACCACAGTCAGCCTTGCAGGTGAGACTAGTACCTGGGTCACTAGTTCCCAGAACCCTTTAAACCATTAGTTTAGTAATGTCAGATTATAGGGCAAAAGGGACCTTGGAGAGTACCGGTTTCAACCATCCAATTTTACGAAATTTAATTTAGTGGAGCATTTATTTTTTATTATTATTTTTTAAAGATTTTATTTATTTATTCATGATAGTCACACAGAGAGAGACAGAGAGGCAGAGACACAGGCACAGGGAGAAGCAGGCTCCACGCAGGGAGCCCGACACAGGACTTGATCCCGGGTCTCTAGGACCGCGCCCCAGGCCAAAGGCATGCGCCAACTGCTGCGCCATCCAGGGATCCCTAGTGGAGCATTTAAACCTGAAAGTGCCAGAACTTATGGCAGGCACTGCAAGCTTGTAGATAATCCTCAACAAAGGCACTGCCCTCAAGGAATGGACTGTCAGTCCAGTAGGGGAGGCAGATGAGTGAACAGCTACAGGACAATGAGATTAATGTGTTTTTTTTTTGTTTGTTTGTTTTGTTTGTTTTTTATGGGACAGACTCTTGTCTTATATAGCAGAAAGAACATTGGGATTTAAGTCTGTACACCTGGGGTACAGAGGGGGCAACTCTTGGTATCTGGGTTCTGCCACTTTCTGTAGGACATGGGACAATTTTATTAATCTCTCTGAGCCTCAGTCTCCACTTCTGATAAAAATTATCTATCTCTGCTGTACCTGTTTACCACACTTGGAAATGGTAAGAGGGTTCATCAGGTGGAATGGGATGTGTAGAGATGGGCTGTTCTTTGCTCTGGACAGCCAGGAGAAATGTGGCTGCAGTTCCTGACTGGGGTCCCCTTACCTCGGTCCAGGTCCGTATGTACTCGCGCACAGTTGCTATCATCGGCGGCTTTCTTGTGCTGGCCAGCGGCGCTGGGGAGCTGTACCGCCAGAAACCCCGCAGCCGCTCCCTCCAGTCCACCGGCCAGGTGTTCCTGGGCATCTACCTCATCTGCGTGGTAGGTTGGGGGGCCGTTGGCTGGAAGTGCTTGCTTGGGAATGAGGTTTGAGCCCATGCTTGGCAGCACCCAGGGAGGTGGGCAGAATAAGGCCTTGCACGTGCTTCCTGATGGTCTACCTCCTGGGGTTTCCTCAGCCAGTTTTGGGGCCTCAAGGGCCCTTCAGTCTCCTGAGACCTGCTTGAGAGTTCCTTCTCCCAACATTATTGCCACCAGGGAGAAAAGAAGTTGGATTGACCATTCAGTCCCAAGCCTGAGAGAAGAACAGAGTGGACTGGTCATCTCATGGCTCTAGCCCCCAGAGGAATGGGAGAGGGGACAAAGGAGAGGTTTGGTGGGGTTCAGACCCCAGATGGGGATCTACCACTTAGAGTTGTGGGGGTTGTCTAGGGTAGCCAGTTATGGTACTACCTCGTGGAGGACCTAGAGGGAGCCAGTGTGGATGGGGACCTGGACAGGCTCCAGGTCACCTGGCTTCATATTCGTTACTGGGCATCGTATCCCATGTGCAGTTCTGTATTCAGAGGTGAGAGCCCTAGTCTGGCTGTGGAGACACACTTCCTTCTGAGCCTAGAAGGTGAGGAAAGACAGGCCTTAGCCTCATGAGCTCCTTAGTCTGTGGGAGAGATGCAGGCCCTATTTTCAGAGAGCCCCCAAGTCTGAGATGGGAGTCAGAAGCCCACCTTGCAGAGGCTGACTTGCAGGTGCCATCTCCAGGGCAGCCATCCCCAGACCGGCTCCTCTCAGCCTGCTGGAGAGACTTAGAGGATGGTGTGTCTCTAGGCCTACTCACTGCAGCACAGCAAGGAGGACCGGCTGGCATATCTGAACCATCTCCCAGGAGGGGAGCTGATGATCCAGCTGTTCTTCGTTCTGTATGGCGTCCTGGCCCTGGCCTTCCTGTCAGGCTACTACGTGACCCTGGCTGCCCAGATCCTGGCTATACTGCTGCCCCCGGTCATGCTGCTCATTGATGGCAATGTCGCCTACTGGCACAACACACGGCGCGTTGAGTTCTGGAACCAGATGAAGCTCCTTGGAGAGAGCGTGGGCATCTTCGGGGCTGCTGTCATCCTGGCCACTGATGGCTGAGTGGCATGGCGAGGACTGAGATGGGTGCAGGGGGTCACCCAGGGCCACCCTGCCTTCCTCCTTGCTGGCCCAGTTGTTTCTTTATGCTTTCTGCTCTGTTGGTTTGGTTCTCTGCTGTGTGTATGTGTTGGTAGGAGGCAGGTCTCTTCCCCGGTGTCTGGGCTCGGCCCTTGGGGGTGGTGGGAGGCCTCATGAAGATGCCTTCCAGGGTTTTTTCCCATTTGTTATTAGGGACCCAAGGCCAGCTGGTTCCTGGGTCTCCTGTTTCAGAGAAGGGAGTAATAAGACAGGGCTTGGGTGGGGGTACAGAGGAAGGAAGACCATGAACCAAAAGTGAGCAAATGTGAAAAGTTCCTTTTTGAGCCTGACGAGTCAGCTAGGCTCTGCAGTGCTTTCTGGAGACTGGGAGTGAGTATGTGTGTTGACATGTGGATTGGGCCAAAAGAAGCTGAGGGGCCAGGCACTACAGAAGTCATGTGAGTTCTCAGGGCATGCTGGGGGCCGAAACAGCTCTAGCCTGTTGCCCCAGCTTGAGAGCTGAGCAGGCCCCAGTCTGGGGTGTGCAGGGGTCTGGCAGGCAGCGGCTAACTCCCCGGCCTCCTGCATTCTGTTTCTAGCACTATGGTTGGCCTGGTTGGGGTGAGTGCCCTCCCAAACACCAGACCACACAGTCCTCCAAAAATAAACATTTTATAGACATTTGGCTTTGCTTCTCTGTTCTCCCCACAAGGCGCGTTGCCATTGGCTGGGATTGATCTTGGGTTCTTGAAAGACCACATCTAGTTAAGGCCTACTTCAGTCCTCCCATGACCTCTGCCCTGTTCTGGGAGTTCCCACAGGCCTTTGGCTCTCTAGTCAGGATCCTCCCTATAGTTTGCTTTTGATCTGTCCCCAGTTCCTGTGTCTTAGCCTTTTTCTCCCCTTTTCTCCTCCTGATTTTTTGGAAGAAACCTTTGGTGAGGGCAGCTAGTGGGGAGAACTAATGTTAAGTGTTCACTGTGAGGGTTTTACATCTTACAGATGAGGAAATGGAAGCTCAGAGAAGGCGAGCAGCTTACTTCAAGCCACATAGCAAATACAGCCACAGCCACAGCTGGATTCCAGGTCGGACCTGTCTAATGCCCACGCACAGCTGTGTCACCCCTCTCCTGAGGAAGTCAGAGGCTGCTCATGGGTCTGTTCTGGTGTGGCTCTGCTGTGCCATGGTGGTCCTCTCCCTACTTGTCCATGTACCTCCTGATTGAAAATAGCCCAGCAGGCAGTATGGGCATGGCACATGGTGGGAGTCAAAAATGCGAAACGAAATCTCTGGCTTTGGACTCCCACCTGCTGAGATATTCTGTTCCCGCAGATGGTGACAGCTTCCAGTGGGGTCTAGAGGGAAACATCCAAGTCTGGGTCTGGGTTGGAAAGAGCTGGAATTGCTATTGGTCTGACTGGGGGATGGAGGGGAGCCCCTCCGGGGGCTGCTGACACCTAGGTGAGGGAGACAGTGACAACATACATCTTTGGGGCACTCCCATCTCTTTTAGCTCTTCTCTTCCCTCTAGGAGTCCCCTGGTTCTCCAGCCCTCAAGATCTTGCTCCCAGAAGGGCACTGCTCATTTCTTCTTAAGTGTGAGCTGACTCTCAGACAAGTATTTGTGTTTTAATCAAGGCCTCCTGAAAAGTTGTAAGACCCGAAGGAATTAAAATACGTGGTGGAATATCAAGCAAATGGGGGGTGGTCTTTTGAGCAAGGGAGCCTTGAAACAGCACAGAGACCACAGAAACTGGCCCACCTTTAAGGTTAGCCCTGAGTAGAGCCCTAGAAGGCCAGCCCCCCACCCTCACCTCCCAAATCCCTAGACTGAAAATTGAAGGCCATCTGGTTATAGCTTTGGAGCCAGTGATGGGGGGTGGGGGTGTGTCTTGGCACACCCTTCTTCCTGTGCTTGTGCCCATTTGGGCATCCCCCTCTGGACAGAGTAGAGTAGGGGTTGCTTCCTCCTCTGCAGATCACTTAGCCATCAAGCCTGGTCCAGCCTGTGGCTGCTTGGGAGCTCCTCCAGCAGGCATGGCTTTTGGTTCACCTGGTTGTCCCAGGGCCTGCAGGTTGGTGGTGAGGGTCAGCTGCCTGGGTCAGAAGCTGGCTTGCAGAAGGAGTCCGGCAGTCCCTTGGCATGGTTGACCAGCTCGTAAGAGTCCCGGATATCGGCCAGACCAAACCAGAAGAAGATCCACTGCTTGTTGGAGAAGCTGCCATCACTGTGTTTGAAGTACCTGGTGGCAGAAGGGGGGGTGCCTTTAGGGCAAGGCCAGTGCTCATTATTCACTGGTTATTTTGAGGACCTCCTACATGCGAGGCACCCTACTATTATCTGGTTTCATCCGTACAGCAGCAGCCAAGAGCCTGGTAGTATTAATGCTCTTTTCACAGAGAAGCAGCTAAAGCTCAGAGAAGTTAGTTGACTTGCCAGAGTCCCAAAGCTAGGAAGGTTAGACTGAGGACGTCCTTCGCTCTCTCCAGTCTTGTCTGTGCATCCAGGGGAGGGGTTCTTGTTCACCTCTTGGTCCCCACAGACCTGGGTGAGGGGATAGTTGCAGAGGGAAACTAGACATGCAGTGGGCTGGGGGCCAGAGCTCGGCAACTCTGGAGGGTGGAATAGAGCCTGGAAGGTCAGGATTTCTCTGGACTCTGGGAGAGTTGGGGAGTGTCTTCAAGGAATCCACCGCTGTGGGGCCCAGGGCTTTTAAGTGTGCTCTGCTTCTGGGGAAATCTCAGGCTCCCTGTGTGGTCTGCTCCCTGAGGCGTGGCTGTGAAGGGGGGTGGGGGTTGGCGAGGGGTGGGGGTGGGGTGGGCAGCCCAGAGCCCCGAGGGGCGGGACCTACCAGGGATTGATGGGGTTAGTGACCCGGGAGCGCCAGAAAAGCGTCTGCAGGTCCCGCCGCAGGCACTCCCACAGCATCTGGCCAGAGCCTTGGCCCTGGCGGCTGGAGCTCACCACAAATTTGTCTAGATACGGGGTGCCCCCCAGGACGGGCTCTGTGGTCAGAATGGCGGCCGCGTTGTACCTGGCGCAGCAGGGGAGAGGCAGGCTGGGACCTCTCCTTGGCCCCCAGGTGCCCAGCTCTGCCCCTCGGTCCCTGCCTGGGGCCCGCAGGCTCACCCCTCAGAGACGTAGACTGAGTGCAGCCGGGGGCGCAGCGAAGCCAAGTAGTCATCCCGGAGCTTCTTGCCGAAGCTGGCGTTGACCAGGTTCACTAGGCGGCCCTGGTCCAGGCTGTCTAGGCTTCGCACCCGCAGCATCCGCTCGGCGTTCTTGAACAGGGTCCCGGACCCTGGGGGTGGGGTGGAGGATGGAGGAGGAAGGGACCAAGAGCCAGGTCCCGTCCGCTCCTGCCTTTGCCCTGCCTGGTGGGGGCGGGGGGGTGTCCAGAGAGAACAGGGGCCGGTGGGACAGTGACCCTCTTTGGAAGACCTACACAATGAAGTGATTTCTGTGGTCTGCATAGATATGTACATGATTTTCACAAAGTGAGATGCTTTCCGCTGGCTGTTTGTTGTCCCTCAACTTCGGTCCATCGCCTGTAGTCCCACCTACTTCCCCTAGACCCACCTACCACCGAGCCGGGTCTCCACCCCCCCACCCCGCCCCCAGGCGCGGCCCTCACCCTTGTTGCTGAAGAGCTCGGTGAGCAGCGTGCTGGCGGAGGTGATGACGGCCGAGGAGTGGTGGGGCAGGCGGCTGAGCACGTCCACAATGAGCCGCATCTGCTGCCGTTCCTTGGTGCTCACCCACTCGGCATTGGTCACCAGGTCCAGATCAGCGGGCAGGTTCACATTACTCAGGACCTATGTCCAGGGCCAGGGGGTGAGCCTCTGGCCTGCAGCTGGCTACGGACTCTGCCCCTGCCCTCCCCGACCCTTTCCGACCCTCTACCCGCACTTCCTCCCGGAGTCCTCCTCGGCCAGGGAGTGTTCTGATCCGGCACCACGCCATTCCCGACCCACCCGGCTAGAGAATGACTGAAGCCCTCTGGAAGGTGAGCAGGGGGCATGAGAGGGGCTCAGCTAGGCACAGAGTCATAGGAGTGGGACCCAGAAGGAGGGGACACACCTTTTGAGTGCCATCGTGCAGGCCTCCGGTGGTATTGAGGAAGATGATTTTGGTAGGCTGCAGCGCCTTGGCTAGAGCCGCGGTCACCTCCAGCGAGTCGAGGAGCACCGAACGGCGTGCGGTCGTCTCCCCGATGGGGCACAAGATGGGAATGCTGCCCGACTCCAGGCACCACTGTAGCAGGTCGGTCTCCACTGAGACGATGCCACCGTAGCTGTGGGCCAGATGTGATGCTCAAGACGGCCCCCTCCAGGCCTGCCCGGCTGGGGCAGGGCGGGCAGCTTAGTGAGGTCTAAGGACGGGGCCAGGGTGGGCGGCACTAACCTGGCATGAGGGGCTGGCTCAGCAGCTCCCAGCACCGACCCACCACCAAAAAAAGGCACGGCAGTGGCAGCGTTGTGCCGCAGCTCATCCACCAGCACCTTGCAGTGCTGGGCAAGTTGTGCCTTGGCCTCCCAGAAGGAAAGGCAGCCGGAGGGCGCGGTGGGAGCCGGCAGCCCGAGGACTACCAGTGGCTTCATGTCCATGCGCTGCAGGAATGCCAGGGCGAAGGCCAGGCTGGATACGGCCCGACTGCACTTGAGTACCTCCTCGTCCACCTGCACGGGAATGAGCGTTCAGAAGGGGCCTCAGTGGCCCTGACTCCTGCCACAACCGCTTGCTCCTGCAGCCTGGCCCACAGGGCCCTGTCGCTGCACCTCCCCTCCCCAGGAACAGTCAGGCTCCATTTCTGGCTACCGGCGCCCACCTGCTCCGCCCTTTGCCCCATTGGGTCTTGCCATCCCCTTATCTCACACTGTTGTTCCTCCCTCTGTGCCTCCCTGCGACCTTGGACTCTAGGACTCCTTGGGGGGAGGGGTGAGCCAGGCGGCTCCTGTCTAGGTTCCCCACTTGCCATCGGAACCCCTAACTGCGTCCGTGGTGGTGGTGGGGACTTCTCCAGCGCATCACACTTGGCGGATTAGGGTCCCCAGTCTCCTCGCCTGGGCTGGGCGGGAGACTACTGGAGCAGTGCGCAGCCTCACCCAGTCCCGGCACTCGTCCGGGCCCCGTCTCACCTTTTCCCGCTTCCGCTGCGCGGAGTCCGCAGCCGGTCCCCCCATGGCTGGCGACACGTCGCCGTACAACCGTACAGCCCCCGTGCATCCCCTCGCCGTGACACGGCCGGCGCCCAGCTCCGCTCACCTCGATGACGGCGAAGGGCTTGTCCGCGGAGTGGTAGCAGGTCTGGAACTGCGTGAGCCAGTGGCGCGCCTCCCCGGGGCTGGCTCCGCACTGGTTCAGAAAGGCCTGGATGTCCCGCTGCACCAGCGAGCGGCCTGCCGGGGGCCCGGGGGGCTCGAGGGGCTCGGGGGGGACCGGGGGCGCGGGGGGCGGCGGCCACTCCGGCTCCTCCGCGGCAGGCGCGTGGGTGTCGTCCTCGGCGCCCTCGGTCCCTTCTCGTACCGGCTGGGCGGGCGCCCAGGCGGTGCTGAGCCGGCGCCCCGGGCTGGCGCCCCTGGCCGCCCGCCGTCGTGTGCTGCCGCTCAGTCTCCGGGCGTCCCCGGTGCTTCGGGGACCGCGCAGCCTTCCTCCCGCAGAGGTGGCCCGCAGGGCCCAGGCCAACCGCGCCGTCGCCATGACAACCAGACGGGCTGGCCCCCCCACGAGTGCGCTTCTGTCCCGAGCTCCGGGTCCTGGGGGGGCTCTTAACCTGCTGCAAGGCGGGGCCGGACCAGCCGGGGCGGGCCGCGAACTGGGGGCCCTGAGTGCCTCCGGGTGCATTTGAGGAGGGTCACGCCTTGGGTCAGGGGGCGGGGTCAACAGTATCCCCGCCCCTGGGGAAGGGGGACGGAACCCACTAGCGCGCGCGGGTCACGAGGCAGAGATAAGGGGTGCGGGGCGTCTTTAATCTGCTGCCAAGGCCGGTTCCAGGAAGGGCCCAGGGGACCCAGGGTGGCTTTGAGGGTCTCTAAGGTTCTGGATGATTAAAGGGGAGTTTGAGGAGGTCAAGAGGGGTGAGCAAGTGACGGTTAAGGTTATCGGGACTGAGGGAGGAGACTGGAAGGAGAGGTGGGGAAAAGTGGAAGGAGGGTGGAGGCGGGCCAACTCTACTGGAGGGCGGGGATGCCTCCCTCCTATCATCTGAACGCAAAGATTGGAATCATGAGGTTACCAGGGTTTGCCAAGCTCCAGACACTGGGTACCACTTTGAAGAATTCTGTCATATTCACAAATCACCCCTTATTTTATTTTATTTTATTTTTATTTTATTTTTATTTTATTTTATTTTATTTTATTTTATTTTATTTTATTTTACCTTATTTGAAACTAGGCCATAAGCTATATACCAGACTATAAAGTGCTGTGAGGACAGCTTCAGTGTCCCTTTTCCTTCCTTTCCCAAAATGTATGCTCCTTTCTACCAAGACCAGTGTTTAGATCCATCCAATGGGAAGGGAACCAGAGGGTAAATCCCCGTTATTAGTATTAAAGTTTTCAAATTTAAAGTTTATCCCTATCAAGATTATAACTGGAAGACCAATATCACTTGCTATAAACAGAAGAAAGCCTTAAGAATAAATCCAGAACAAACTGTTATTAAATTCCAGTTAGGTAGTGTTGCCTGGTCTCTTGGTAACACATAAGGCCAGTAAGGGCCCAATGTCAGAGCTACCCTAGCACCCTGGGAGGCTTTCTCTTGATACATGGAGAATGCCAGGCACTGTGCAGAGCCCTTCACATATAGTAACTCATTTAATCCTCACGATGAGGCCAGGATGAGAATTATTATTCCCATTTTTTAAAAAAGATTTTATTTATTTATTCATGAGAGACAGAGACAGAGGCAGAGACATAGGCAGAGGGAGAAGCAGGCTCCCTCCGGGGAGCCTGATATGAAACTTGATCCCAGGACCCCAGGATCATGACCTGAGCTGAAGACAGACTCAACTACTGAGCCTCCCGGGTGCCCCCAAATGTATGTTCTTAAACACAATTTGAAAAGCACCTGGGTGGCTCAGTGGTTGAGCGTCTGCCTTTGGCTCAGGCCATGATCCCAGGGTCGTGGGATCGAGTCTCACATCAGGCTCCCTGCAGGGAATCTGCTTCTCCTTCTGCCTATCTCTGTGTCTCTCATTAATAAATAATCTTTAAAAAAAATGAAAAGGACCTGAAAACTTTCACTGGATGTGATTCATTGTTATTTGGTACTGTATCTGCTCACTGCCTAAAAGCACCCTGTATGCTATCACTTGTACACATCCTGTGCTTGGGTACACTGTGCTGGAGTCTCAACTTGTGTCGCGGTAGAGGAAAAGCAGTGACTCAGCCAAGGTCACATAGCTGTTAGTGTCATGGCCAGATGCTAGGTATCTTGAGTTCTCACCACTGCTCTTTTCTTCCTTCTGTAAAGTTCTATGCTCCCTGTGCGGGGAGGAAGGACCCCGAGGACTCTGCCTAAATGGCGAGTGGTGGCCTGAGCTGCTTCTCTCCTGAGTATCCCAGAGGATGCTGGGTGAGGATTGCAACCCCTTCCGGGGATCCCCTGCAAGAACCACAGCACGTGCACGCATGCACCCTCCCAGGCAGAAGACTCCTGGCAGAGGGCGGGGGAGCTGACCTCTGTGACCTCCGCCACTGACTTTTCCATTTTCCTTTTTAGAAATCCTGGGTTCCATTAGAGAGTAAAGCAGGAAGAGTGTACCCCCTACTCTGCGGGGTCACCTCTAGGGCCTTCTTTTTCCAGGATAGGGCTGCCCACGCCCTTCTTGCCTGCACTTCCCAGAATCTACCAGAGGAGGGGGTCCCAGCCCCTCATCCGAGCTCCCACCTTCCCTGGCCCCTCTGAGCTCAGGGGGTCTATCCGCCCCAGCCCTGGCCTCTCTTCACTCCTCTCCCAAATGCAGGCCCCTTCCAGGCCCTCTCCCCACAGCTGTGGCTAAGTCCTGCCTCCTGCCAACTCGGGGCCTGTGTGAGGGCAGGGCTGACTTCTCCCTCCACAGACCAAGGGCCCACCCTTTTCAGAAGCCAAGAGCATCAGCCCCATTTCCCCTGGGCTGGTGACACCAGCTGGGGAGCTGCTTCCCACTGCTTTGGGCTTTAGCCCAGGGGGCCGTGTCCCCACGCAGCCAATGGGCCCAGGAATACCCTGAGTAAATGATTAACTCCAGACTCAGTGACCCCAGGGCCACTGTGTCCCCACTGCCTCTCCTGGGGGGAAAGGCCAGCCTGTGGTTGGAGAGCTGGCAGTGCTTCACAGAGGAGATGAGTGTGGGTGTGAGGTCAGCACCCCCACCTGACCCCATATCTCTGAATTGAGGGGCTATAGTATTGTTGTCAGTCTGTGGTTCCAGCTCGAATTTTCTTTGTTCCCCTCTGAAGCAAGCTGTCGTTTTGTTTTTCAGAGCAAAGCTTGCTGTCAGTTTGCCCAGAATCGGGCTCCTGTCTTTTCACCGGGCCCTGGGTCATGGAGATGCTGAGAACAGACGTAACCTTCCAACCCCTCCAGATATTTCCGCTTAGCATGGGCTTCAGCCTTGAGCACAGGAGCTGGTTTGAAGGGCCAGGGCTTTCCCTCCTATTAGAGCCCTCCTTGGCTGCCACTCAGGACAGGTGGGCATGGAGGTGACGGTCCAGGGGTGACAGCTGACAGTTCCCGTCACAGCACCTGAGCAAAGAGATACACACACACACACACACACACACACACACACACACACAGAGTACACAAACGTAGCAACCCACACCATCCATGAAGATGCACGCAGAAACACAGATGTGTAGACGGACGGGTGTACAGAGATACACAGAATACATGGATTCCCACACCATCCAAAGTCACACGATGTACACATGGAGAGATACACATGTATAGACACAACAGGTCTGCAGAGAGACACGGGTCCACTCAGACACACATTGGCATGCATAATTGTGCACATTTACATGCTCAGTGACTCAGCATATACATGAACAGGTACTGAGAACACACAAATACACACCCAGCTGTTGTCAGTGATGACAACGGGGGCACTCAGATCTGGAGACACGAATATACACAGACTTCTGTGTGCACATCCACACACATGCACACACACACAACATACAGAATTAGAAGCAGACATACATCCTAAGATCATACCCATCTACCCATGTACAGAGGCCCAGAGCCACACTCATTCACATGCCATAATGGTGTCTGGCATGGGAGAAGTGGCCAGTAAACATTTACTGAATGAATGAATGACTGAATGAAGAGAAAACAGCAAGAAAGAGGTAGGGCCCTATGGAAAGGGAAGACTGGCTCTGTAGACCCTGTCGTGGGGTTGGTCCTACGACTACTCAGACAGCCCCGAGGTGGCCCTCCTCATCTGTGAGGAGGAAGAGCCCAGTGGGAGATTATAAAGTTTTGTGAGCACACACCATGTGCCAGGCGGTGATCAGGGCACCCTGAGGATGTAGTCCCATTTTCCCTGCCTGGAGGTCAGGAGGCCTGGCTCTGCCACTTCCTTGACTAAAGAGGTTTGGCCAAGGCATTTAACTTCTCTGAGCTCCCATTTTCTCACCCATATAAAGGGGGAAAGAGAATAAAACTTAATCTCATTGCATCATAGTGAAGATGAAGAGCTCTCCATGGGCATGCAGTCAGCAAAACCCACACCGTGGGAAACTATAGGACAAGTAACCTGGTTTCTTCAACAAATAAATTATAAGGAAAAGAGGAGGAGAGAGAAGGGTGGAATTAGGTGAAAAGGTGTATTTTTTAAAAAAAGATTTTAAGTAATCTCTATGCAACCCTGAGATCAAGATTCACATGCTCTACTGACTGAGCCAGTGAGGTGCCCCAAAAAGATGCATGTATGTATATATGTATTTTAGAGAGGGAGAGAGGGAGTGCAAGCCAGGAAAAAGGGAGAGGGAGAGAGAGGATCTCAAGCAGATTCTGTGCTTAGTACGGAGCCTCACGGGGAGGGGGGGCAATCCCCCAAACCTGAGATCATGACCTGAGCCAAAATCAAGAGTCAGTGGCTTAACTGACTGAGCCACCCAGGTGCCCCTGAAAGTATATATTCATGGAAGAAGCAAACTTGCTTTTATTGAGTGTTTGCATGTCAGACTGGTAACTGCCACCTATGGGAGTTCATTGAATTTTCTCATTTGTCCGATCATACACAGCAGTGGGTAGATAGTATAATAAATCCTCTGTACCCATTGCGTAGCTTCAAAAGTATATATGTCTTTTAGGGGTGCCTGGGTGGCTCAGTCAGTTAAGCATCTACTTTCGGCTCAGGTCATGATCTCAGGGTTCTGGGATAGGGCCCCATGCCAGGGCTCCCTGCTCAGCAGACTTTCCACTGAGCAGGGAGCCTGCTGCTTCCTCTCCCTCTGCCCCTGCTCCTTGCTCTCTCTCTCTCTGCCAAATAAATAAATAAATAAAATCTTTTAAAAAGTCTCTTTTAATCCTTATTTGGATTCTGAATCAAACAAACCTTAAAAAATTAGACAATTGGAAAAATTTGAGCACAAGGGATATTTGATATGTTATTTTTTAGGTATGCTATGATTGTGTGTGGTGTTTTTAAAATTATTCCGTGTACTCTAGGGTGCATGCTGAATATTTATAGATGAAATGATAAGATGTCTTGCATTTGCTTCAAAATAACCCTGGAGGGCAGAAAGCAGTGTGGGGAAACAGATGCAATTAGGCTCACTATGAGTCAGGAGTTGA